TTCCTTACTTAGAATTTCTGGTTCGCAGACTTCATTTGGAAAAGTCGAAAATTTCCTCGATTTGGGATTCAAGATAAACCGGTGACTTGGGACACCAAAAGCCAAACCTTTCCCAAGTGGCGACTCTGAATTAAATAAATAATCCCATTTCGAATATTGTCACTTAAATTGGAAAAACTCCCTCGCGCATTTAACCCTTCGGGGCGGGGCGCGCAAAAAGAAGGTGTGACACTAAATATTAGAGAAATGACACAATGGCACAGTTGAAAAACAATAATCATTTTGAGGTCATAGGAGCAATGTAATCCTTATAACAATATCAAATTACAGATGAAAAAAAATAAGGATGAAGGAACAACAACAACTACAGGATTCGAACCCAGGATACAGAGATTGTAGTGCATTAGCAGGCTTCGTTCAACCAGTAGAGCAACAAAAATCTCAAGAAGACGAGTGCCATTTGATATTTATAATTATTATCTTAAAGGCATTTCTAAATGCACGTGCACAATATTTTCCGATATGGCGGTGCTAGGGCACCCCAACCCGGGATGTAGGTCTACCTCTATACTTATTCCCTTTCTTTTTTCCTTTAAGGGTTAGATAAGTTTGAGTTAGGAGAAAAGTAGAGAGAAGAGCCCGGTAAGAATCGAACCTTAAGATAACATCCGTAGCTATTACTCGAATACTTTTGCCTTCTTCTTAACCAATTCCAAATGAATGAGGCAGAGAAAATGAAGGTGGTCACATTATATCACATTGGCGATGGGGCAAGACATATATATTGGAATCTAAACACAAGATGATTTATAAGCTTTACTCTAGCTTGTAGCGTAATAGCATTCTCGATAATTTTTGCCAGCAAAACTTCTCTACATTGAATCGCTTTAGAGAACACACAATAGTAGCAGTAGCTAGCGACTAAATCTCCATCATGTGAAGTACAAATGATTTCACTGTCATCCACAAATTAACAAGTCAAATTGAGAGAAAATTCCAAAGAAAGGTGGTTGTTCTATGGAGCTGGAAGTAACCCTACATTCACATGGCTATGGTTAGCCAAAAATGACCAAACAACCTATAATTGTGAATTTCATTCACTTCCAATTCATTCCTTATCTTCAATTCATAAAAATATCCATAGAACCAGAACTCATGACCACTAATCAGGATGGCCAATCCTACAAGTTGAATTCTATAAATTCCCAAGTGAACCTAAAGCCGGTACACAAATATTTCTTCAAAATATTTGTACAGGCTAAGCTAGTAACTACTCAAAAATGATTGGTTCTAAGTCATTTTCTGTTTTTATTTTGTTGAATGTAATACTAGTGTTTTTCACTTGTGTTTCATCTCATAATGTACCATGCCCTCCAACTCCAAAGAGTAAGCCAGTGACTACATCCCCAACAAAAGCCCCAGCTAAGTGTCCCAAAGATACACTAAAATTTGGTGTGTGTGGAGATTGGCTAGGGCTGATTCATGAGGTAATTGGGGCAAAACCAAGTAGTCAATGTTGTGCTCTTTTGGAAGGGATAGCAGATGTTGAAGCTGCTTTGTGTTTATGCACTGCCATTAAGGTCAATGCTTTGGGGGCCCTTAACCTCAAAATTCCCATTGCTATCAGTTTGGTTCTTAATTCTTGTGGAAAGAAAGTGCCCAAAGGCTTTAAATGTGCTTGACGGTTTAAAGTAGCGTACCCAGAATTTTAGGCAAATGTCATCTATTGTTGCAATTCAGCTTGTAAATGGGTTCGGATCTAGCATCAATATAATTATGTTGTTCTTGTGGCTTTACTTTCTGTCTTAAAATGTTATTTACTTGGTATTTTTTCCAAGCAATATCAGTCTAACGCATATATAAATATCCTTTGAATTAAACATATGAAGAATGCTTTTCATGAAACGACGTCAGATAACTGATGCAGTTTCATTTATGGATCCTGGTATCTCAACATAGCGGAGATATTGGGTAAGACTGTGTACAATAGACTCTTGTGGTCCGGTCCTTCCCGGACCCCGCGCATAGCGGGAGCTTAGTACACCGGATTGCTTTTTTATCTTGGTATCTGAAGAGCTAGAAACAACAATTCATTAAAGATAAAAGAGAAAGCCAGAGATAAACACGGAAAATATACTCTTAAAACTATGTAAAGGGGGGAAAAAAATACAAGCAAAACAGGTAAAATTATATTAACATGTAAAAAGTTATTTAAACTGTATAAGTTAAAATTCTTATTCAGAACAAATGCATAAGCGATCGATCGCTCTGCTTCTCCAACCCGCATAAGATGTTATCCTTCGTCTTTTTATTCAAGATAATCAGAGTTACGAACTACTCTGACATGTGACAACATTTTGATGGCATTGACTTGAAAATGGTAGTGGAATAAGTGTCTGCACCATTGGCCTGGACATATCAGCAGAAAAAAATGCACCATTCCGCATAGAGCAAATTGAATAAGAAAACACTTCACTGGTTAACAACTATGCAACAATTCATGTTTAAGAGCACATTCTGCCCGCTGTTAATCGAATTAACACACGAAAAGTGATGTCGACACAAATATACGAGAATGTTTGCTAAGGATATGCTCTCAACGTACAGTACTCTGTGTTTAACCCAAAAAATAGTTTTCAAGGTCAAAGCAATAATTTTATATGACGGGCCACAAGCAAGCGATTCAATCCGAAAGATATAAAATTTCATTAATACAACGTGATAGAGAAGTGGNATTTTTTCTTTCAACAGATTCGATATAAGCTTGCACTCATAACTGTTTTTCTTTTGCAACAGTTTTTTTTTTTGAATTAGTACAAGGAGATAACTACTTTTGTTTACAACAGTTTTAAATATAAGGGTACGAATTTTTACCCATAACTATTTTTACTGATAATAGTTTTCAAATGAATACAAGGGTAATGCTTTTTCATCCGTAACTGTTTTCAGTTACAACATTTTTTGAGTAAGTACAAAGATGTGCATTTTTAACCGTAACTAATATTCTGCCTTTAACCTTTTTTGAAACATTCGTTTATATTTATGAATATGTTTTCAAAGGTTTTTGAGTCAGGCTTGTGTTTTTGGCTCGTGACTTTACTCTTAACTTTCGATTTGTTGGGTAGACCTTAGGCTTGACTTGAATTTTGATTTTTCTAGTTTTCTTTGCCTTCCATATATATATAGTCCCCAAGTGTTAGAGCTTTAAAGTATGAAATCTCGAGCATTTGATTATTCCTTCCATGTGGTCCATTTCCTGAAAAGGAAAAGCACACGGGACTCGGAGGTATATTTTTTAGATGATGATTGCTTAACCCTTTTTATTTTATCAGAAGGGTTGTAACCTAGACCAGGAATATACAGTGTTCCTCGTGTCTTTCGGGTCAAATATCATCATTTGGCATTTTATGGAATTTATCCGAGTACTAATTTTTCTTGGCACTTTAGAAAATTATTTGAGTACTCATACTTAGTCTTTTTGACTTGAAATATATATTTGGATGCATCGTTACATGTGCGATGTCTTAAAGTTGCATCTTTGGGTGTCTAACTTTTATATAAAAGAGGGCTCTTTTATATACTTTAAACGCAATGAAGAGGACGTCTCCTTTTCATTCAGGCGTAAAATAGGATCGATTGATCCAAGTAGACTTTTAGTCTGAGGGAATATTAATCCCGGTAGGATTTACAAGAGTATTGACCCTGTCACACCTCCTTTTTCCATACCCGCGAGGGTACAAAGAGTTTTTTTCAATTAAAGGACAATCGAAACGGGATTTGTTTAATTATTTCAGAGTCGCCACTTGGGAGGTTTTAGGGTGTCCCAAGTCACCAATTTTAATCCCGAATCGAGGAAAAGAATGACTCCATATTACAGTCTGCGTACCAGAAATCCGGATAAGGAATTCTGTTAACCCGGGAGAAGGTGTTAGGCATTCCCGAGTTCCGTGGTTCTAGCACGGTCGCTCAACTGTTATATTCGGCTTGATTATCTGATTTTATACAAATATGAACTTATGTGCAAATTTTATCTTTTAACCGCTTTTATCATTTACCGTTATTTTTATCAAGAATTGCAACATCGTGGAAAGCACACCTCGAACCACGTTACAATCAATGTACCCGTGGTTAGAGCTACGTTTCAACTCTGTTAAGATTGGGATTTGGATCGCATAAATGTGCACCCGAGTTTAGGAAGATAACATTAGTAAATACGCGCCTAAAGCAACTAGCGTATTGTTATTTTGGGAAAGGCCGTGAAATTCGCTAACGGCCTGTCCCGAATTTTAAGTATTTTAATATATATATTTAGAGGGCCCCGCAGCTTGTGCATTTTTTGTTTGTCGAGGC